CTTTAACTATCATGCGCAATCTGTTAAAGCTGAGAACATATGTTGGGGATCACTTAAAGATACTACAACGTCAAATGTTACATCGGTATGTGTAAAATTGACAGAGTTTATTTTAATTTTGTCTTCTTTTTTTTTACATCAGCCATTTTCATTCAACCTTTATTTATACAGGTTAGTCACATTGAGTCATGAGGAGTCGAGGACTCATTTACAAGAGAGACCGGTTTTAAACAAAGAACACAGATGAGGTACAGGCGAGACAACAATAGACAAGCATATAAAAGCATATATAAGCATATAAAATGAAAAGTAAATAAAATAAATTATATACAGAAACAAAACAAAAAACAGCTACTTTATAAAGCGATGTAAAATGCTAAAATCAGGAACATGTCTGCGTTGGCTTTTGCGTTGAACTTAACAGTTGTTTAAAATGCTTTAGAGTGGTCGAAGTGGACAACTTCAGATCGTTTTGCAAAGTGTTCCAGGAAACAGGAGCAGAGTAAGAGAAGGCCCTTTTGCCAAGTTCGGTCCGCACTGAGGGGATGCTGCAGGTAATGATGTCTTGAGAGTGCATGCTGTAGCTACTATGAATTCAAAAAACGTCCAATGCAAAAACAACTGGACTTTATTTGTAACAGAAGACATTTCGCTCCTCATCCGAGGAGCTTTCTCAATTCAAACAGCAGTGAGTGAGGGATTCAGGTTATAAGGCTGAGTGAGATAACACACACACACATATGTAGATTGGCAATTCACACCTAAACACAATAACAGTAGGTCTTTACTATGACGAAGTGACAAGTAGCAGGAGATGTATGAAGGCAACAGACCAAGATGTGATTTAAAGATGAAAATGTACCAGTGTGTGGAGAGTTTGCATGAAGTTAATGATGTCCAGTTAACCAGTGAATACAGGATGCAGTGGTGGGTACGGTAGTTACAGCTAGTTATGAATCTTAGTGCACCGTGATAAACAGCATCCAACATCTGCAATGTGCTTACAGGAGCATTCATGTAAATAATGTCACCATAGTCAATGGAGGGAAGGAAAGTAGCAGTTACAAGGCGTTTTCTATCATTCAGAGTGGTAGACAGGAGCTGTTTCTAAACAATAAACCCAATTTTACTTTCAATTTCTTTATCAAGTGTTCAACGTGAGGCTTAAAGAGAGATGTGAATCGACCAAAATACCCAAGTATTTGTAAGAATCTACAAACTCAATAGAAGCACCATTGGTAAATAATATAGAAGGAAGGACTGCTGGTACCGGCTTCCTGTTTGAAACAACATCCCTTTGGTTTTATCAGCATTTAGCACCAGTTTGAGATGAAACAAATCTGACTGGATGATGTCGAATGCAGACTGTAAAAGCTGGAAAACCTTAGCAACTGTTTTAGTGCAACAATAAACAACCGTATCGTCGGCGTAGAAATGTAAGGATGCATCTGACCTACATTACTTCTGTAGATTGTGAAAAGGGTGGGTCCTAAGACTGAGCTTTGTGGTACACCATTGTTGACAGTTAAATAGCTGGAAGAACATTTGAATTGGATTTGTTTTAAAATTAACCAGATGTAGATGCTATTTTCCTTTTGGCTGCGCAGGGCTGGTCACGGCGAGCAAACTCACAAAAAAGACGTGACAATTGTTTCACGACGGATGCCTTTCCTGCTTTTCAGTGATGGCCGATAGCAATAACCGCCCAGACATGGCTGGCTGACATTACCCTGCCAGCAGCCTGCTGAAACATTTTGCACAGTTCCGGGGCCTTCATAGAGCACAGCTGAAACAATACGAGGCCTCACAGCAACCTTTCCTTCAGCAAGTGAGTTTCATTGTGATGCTGAACCAAATATAAGATTAATTAGAAGAAAAACATCCAGCTGCAGCTGTGGGATAAAAAATGATTTCACTGCAGCCAGAGAAGATAATTTATCTTCTGGGATTATCTACTAAAAATAGAGCACACGGCTGATTTTTAAACTCCTCAGTTTCTTGTTTTCCATCAGGACTGTGCAGGTGTCGGTGCTGATGCTGAGCCTGTTGTACCTTGAAGGATTTCCAGAGCCGCTCTGCATTTTAACAACTTGGTGAATTAGACCTTATGTCTCTGTGCTGCTGCACCTGCTTTTATTCATGTTCCTAAGGAAAATAAAAGATTGGATCCTTTTCTTTTCTTACTTTTTGCCATGATTTCAATGCCACTGAGTGAATTAATGAGGCATGCGTTATTTTTCGTGAATCCCTGGACAGTGACTCAAACACAACAGAAGGTGAAAACCTCGTTAGGATTGATTTTCCCACCTTTAGCCTTGAGTCTTGTCATTATCAGAGCAATAATGTACAGGTATTGCCTGTGTCTGTCTGTTAAGCATGAAAAACTGGATGGATCAACAGCTGAACATCTACAACTGATTAACACTTGGAGTTAAAACAATTCAAGATGGCCACCACAGCTAATCAACCTTGGCAAACACAAAAATCACCATAACTTTGTCGAATTTACAGATATTGAGCTAGAATTTGGTGTGGTAGTAACTGAGAGTCATCCCCAACACATATTGTGTGTTTTACACAGACCGTGTAAAATCTTGCAACAAGGCATGAGATTTTGCACGTCATTTACAAGATTTGACCAAAACGGCTACAACTTCCTCCCTTTTCATGATAGTGCCATCTTGGTTTAAAACGTTGGCACAAAAGGTGGCAGGTGACATGCATTCCTTCAAGGACGGCTATGAGTTTATATATAAACTGCAATCCACAAAAATATCTCAAAATAGGAAAAACTCTTATTGAATCTGCACTTTACCAAAATTCTCATAACCTGTTGAATAAAAACATGTGTTGTTGATTACAGAGATTAGATAGAATTTAAAAAAGGTCTTAAGTTGAGCTGTAAAACCTGCAGTTTTCCTCTAAGAATACCCTGCTTGGATACGTTTGTGACTATAAAATTCAGCTCAAACCCAGTGTATTTCCACAGTTTTCACATTGAATCCATTAATATTTTGTATAAGTCACACATATACAGCATGCAAGCTCTTTATGAACGTAAGGAGTTAAACCGAAAACTGTGAAGTAAAAATCCACAGAATCCCTTTGGATTTCAGCTCGGCTCTTTGCCTGACTCAGCATTCAGACGTGGGAGATGCCACTGTCCCCGTGTGTGTGCTCAGGATGTTTAAATCCCAAACCTGCAAAGTCTGACACCCTGAGCTACACTGAATGAAGATCCTGTCTCTGCCGAGACACGTTTTGCCGCCACTTAGCTCGACAGTAATCCGAAATGTCATCGATCCCTGCAGGAAAGTTCTTGGTCTGCTCATGCGCCCGTAGGAAAGGTCAGATCACCGAGGCCACAGGCAGAACGCTGAGCCAGGAGCTGGGGGGGGGGGGGGGGGGTGCATGCAACATCCCGTCTGCAGCTGCCAGCATTAATTAAAGTTCGATAACATGTAATTTTCTGTGACACAAGAACTTTGGGTTTTACTTAATGAGGGAAATCATTAAAATTCAAGTCATCAAGCGACGAAAGGAAAACCTCACTGGAGGAGGAGAAGATTGCTTTAAACCAGTTTGGAGGAATAAAACATCGCTGATGCTCAAGTTCGAGAATCTTTCTTTGTTTCACTGATTAGATCAGCGACAACAACGCAAACAGGTGGCACATCCGAGCAACGATAAAGCTTTTTATTTTTTATGTGACAAACGTCCTGACGTCAACGGCCTCGGCTGATGCTGTCGACTCTCGTTTGCACATATTCCAACTCGACAATCAAACGAGCTGCGTGGAGAACTGACTGCTAATAATAGAACACAGACAGAGGACCCCTCCGTATTGTTCACGTCTGCAGCCTCTGCTCCACTTCGTCCAGGTTTCTCATTTTCTCACTCCTTTCATATTTTTAGATTTGGAGGAGCTCTCAACGCTGCACCGCAGAAGGCGATGAAGCGATAACGTTTTCAACCTTTGGTTGTTATTTCTATGGTGAAATATCCAGTGAACGGGTTTTAATGAAACAATCAGAAAGTAAACACTTAATGTTAATCCACGCAAGATGGCCACCACAATCAAGTGATCTTATCGAAAACATAAATGGCCACAACTCGGTCAGTTTTACAAATACTGAGCTAAAACTTGGAGTGGTAGTAGCTGGAAGTAGTACTCAACATGTACACAGAGTGCTACAAATTTGCTAAATATTTTGCTTCAAACGTTGACATTATGTTCAAATCAACTGTTAGTCAAATATATTCTAAACAACAGGAGAGAATTGAGTGAAGCTCCAAAGGATGTGCATCTACTACGGCTCATTAACTTCTGAAGTGAATGTATTTTAAGATGGCCGCCACAGCTAAACAAGCTTAGCAAACACAAGTGTGGCTATAGTTCTATCGATTTTACAGATAATGAGCTAAAATTTGGTGTGGTAGTAGCTCAGAGTCATGCTCAACTCATAATGTGAACAGGAACACATCTCTAGAGAGCTCCCCATATTGCATTAGACCATGCCACCCATATTGTAATTTACAAGGTTTGACCACAATGGCTACAACTTCCTCATCATTTCTCAGCATAAGGTGGTTTTAGTTTGAAACTCTGGCATAAGATGCAGCGGGTGATATGCATTCCGTCCAGGAATTACAGGTCTTTAACATTTAGTCACATCTGTCCCCATGTGTCCTGTTATTTAGACATCAAAACAGCTGGAATGGCTGTGAGGAGACAGCTGGGGTTTGTCTTTAACTCACATTTGACCCCGCGTCACAGATTGTCTCACCTGCAGAGACACTCAGAGACAAACAGTCAGATAAGGACGGTCCATCAGACCTGACTGACACCCAGAGGTCTGATTGCCCTTGTTCATCCATCCATCCATCCATCCATCCATGCATCCATGCATTCATGCAGCGTTACGCACCAACATCCAGCAGCACGAGACTCTGGTCTACCTGTTAGCACGCGACCACGCTAGACGCCGTGTCCCCCTTACCTCTGCCTCGTGTCTCCTTTGACATAGTGTCCTCCCCGGTGTCTTTCTGTCTCTGCCGCCCCTCGGTGAAGCCGTCGCGCGGACAGTTAATGAAAGCGGCGGCTCTCCCTCCGCCTCCCCGCCGGCTGCAGCACCTGCTCAGGCGGACTGACCGCGCGTCTCCTCCCGGCGCCGGAGCGTCACACAAGCCGCTGCGCTCTCATTCACCTGCGCAAAGTCCCGCGGAGCGCCGAGCCGCACACAGCATACTTTGACGGAGTGTCGTCGCTGTGCAGACTTTGCTCACATGTCATGCTCGCCCTGCTCCCCGCCTCGTACCTCCTTCCTCCTCTCTCCTCTCTGCCGGAGTTGCTCCGACAGGCTCGGGTCTGCAGCTCGACTGCCTCCAGCGGTGCGCGCCGGTCCGCGGCTGCAGCTGCCGGAGGTCCGTCCTGCTGCTGCCCCTGGAGAAACACCCGGAGAGCCGACCAGAGACGGGGATGACTCGGCTGAAGAGGCTGAAACTGAGTTCAAGTTGAAATAAGCTGAACACTAAAAGCTGGGAGGGGGTGGCGCAGAGGTTATAGAAGATGGGCCTGTAATCGGAAAGTCACAGGTCCAACTCCCCAGACTGATAACATAAAAATGGGATGAAAAGGTGAAGCACCCACACCTGTCTCCATCCTTGCCCCACCCTGGGCCCTTGAGTAAGGCCCAGTTAACGCCATCACCTGTGCTGAACCTGTATGCATCACACTGTGTCAATCATTATGTTATTATCTGCCTTTTTTTGTTGTTGTTGGTTTTCTATATTTTGATTTTACGTTATATTATGTGTTGCTGTGTGCGTTGCCTGTTTGTTTCTGGTTGTACAGCACTTTGCTTGGCCCTGTCGCTGTTTAAAGTGCTTTATAAATAAAATTGTATGGTATCATCTTCTCCCAAAAACAGGTCTCTCTTGAAAATGAGTTTTCGTGATTCACTGATTCCTGTATAAATAAAGGGTAAATAAAAAATCAAAGAAAAATAAAAGAAGCAACACACTATAACTAACAAAACAGCACTAGATTAAAGCTAAAAAAAAAAGGCAAACGCTCTACATGGTAGATAAAAGTAGCAAATGTCTAATAAAAATATAACTAGCTAAAATATCAAAAGGAAGCTTAAAAAAGGGAGTGGTTAAGAAAGTAAAAAGCTGAAATGAGCAAAACGATAGCTAAAAAAGGTAGAATTGGTTCCAAACTAAAAAAGCAGAACACTGGCAAAAAAAAAAAGGCTAAAAGAAGAAGACTATTTGCTAAAACCTAAAAAAAAGGGCAAAAAACTCATTTAAAGCCAATAGTAGCACAAGGCCGGCAATAACTAAAAGTACAAGAGCAAAATGCTAGCTGTTAGCAGCAACAGGTCAGCTAAAGACTAAAAGCAATAAAAGTCTCAACAGAAGCAGCAAACAAATTTCTGTGCTGATGGTAAAAGTAGCAAAGAGCTAACTAAACTAAAAAGGTTAGCTAAAAGTAGCAAAAGGCTAGTTAGAAGCTAAAAAAATGGTGGTTAAAAAGTAAAACGTTAAAATGAGCAAATCACTAAAGCTAAAAGAAGAAAAAAAAAGCTAAATTTTGGTTCTGAACTAAAAAAAAAAAATAGAACCAAAGCAAAAATAAACCAACCTAAAAGTAGAACATTAGTTAAAGCTAAAACAGGAAAACGCTAAATAAAAGCTACTCGCAGCAAAAGGTCAGCAGGACGCTAAAAGTACGACTACCTAAAACAAGCAAAATGCTAACTGAAAGCAGCAGCACGTTAACTGAAAGCTATAGAAGTAATAAAAGGTTAGGTAGAAGTGGCAAACAGATAACTAAAAGGTAAAGTATCAAAAGGTTCATCAGAAGCTAAAACAGAAAATGTGTATTTTAAAAAGTAAAAAGGCTAAAATGTGCAAAACACAAGCTTAAAAAGGCAGGACACACTAATTTAAAGCTAAAAAGCAGAATACTAGCAAAAACATAGAAGAAGTAGATTAGCTAAAGCTAGATTTACCAAAACATTAGCTAAAACTGAAAAGGTTAAATAAATGCCAAAAGTCGCAAAAGATCTTCAAGAAGCCAAAAGTCAAGACGTCAAAGTAGCAAAATGCTAACTAAAACAGGTTAACTGAAAGCTAAAATTAATAAAAGATTAGATAGGGCCCAACAGATACTGTAGCTAGAAGGTAAAAGTAGCAAAAGGCTAGGTGGATGCTAAAAGTAACAAAAGGCTAACTAAAAATAAATAAAGGTTTGCTAAAAGCTAACAATATCAAATGCTTATCAAAAAACTAAAAGTGGCAGTGCTAAAAGTGAAAGTACAAAGATATATCTAAATGTTCTTTATATATTTGTAGAAACTGTAATGAGTGTAGAGAGATGAAAGTGTATGAGCTGTCGTTCCTGTCAACTATCCATCAGTGAAACAGCGGGAGCCGCCCTGGTCACACAGGGGGCAGCCACGCAAGCAGAAGTGAAAATGGATTTTTGAAAGGAAGTGCCTCAAAAATAAAACCAAATCCCATCAAAAATACAACGGCTGCTTTCTGTGGACACAATGGAGCCTCTAAACCATTTCCCCTCAACTTTTAAACCTTTAAATCCACACGTGAGACGTACACTTTGACAAGTCCATTCTTAAGCTCATTTTAAAGAGACATTACTGCAACACTTGACCTGGAAATGTGTAAAATAGCTTTTCTCACACATTGACAATAGTGGGTGTGAGTGTGTGGAGTGGTCATGGTAACACTGGCTGCTTTTATCCCTCGCCTCCTCGCCTGTGGTCTCACGGTCCTGGAAGAACACTCATCCACACAAAGGAGAATTGATAGAGGAAGACAGGTGCACTCGAATCTTCACGATAAAATTCAAGAGCTGAGACATGCTACGTATGCAGGAATACAAACACTATTTGTTTTTCCTCACAGAAGCTAATAGCATTCTACTTGTGCAGAACAAAGAGCTCAGATCCCACTGAGGACAACTTATTGAAAAGACCTTCAGGCCAGGAAGTCAGAAAGATAGATAGCACCGATTACAGCACATGGCTGCATCAACAGGGTCCAAACAAGGAAAACAAATCAAATTAAGTGAATTTCTTTTGTATAAACTTCTCTTCATGCCATAAAACATTACACCCCGCTGCTTCTTGACAGAAAACTGCAAGATGCACAGAATCCTGTAGTCAGTAAAAATATATGCTGATTGGAAGATGTAAGTGTCAAACTCCACTCCTCTGCAAACATGACATAATGTTGCTAAAGTGCAGCACAGGCGCGCAGAAACTCAAGTCGGGTAAAGCCGTTCATAACCACTGCAGGGCTTTTGGAAAATGGAGGCAGGATCAGCTTCAGCTGCACAAAGCATCGTAGGAGCCATTAAAGGGTCCCCGAATGCAGAAGTCGTCAGTCAGCAGAAAGGATTAAGAGCCCAAGGTGCGGATTTTTGTTTGCTAGGAGATGCTGTGCCTCGTGAGATGAAAAATACAATTTTGCCCTGATGGTACTGAACAAAACAAGACCAAGAAACAGTTTACACGCCGACAGAGGGAACCTGAGTGAAAAACAAAATGCAGTTTTTAAAATGATCACTTTGTTTATTTAGCTATCCAAACTGACCTGGCCCTATGTGAAAAAGAAAAATTCAGCCTAAAATTAAAAACTGACTGTGTCCTCCTTGGAGTGTGTGACAAAGTTTTTCTACATTTCTGTATTGAGACTTTCCTGCTTTGGATTATCGTTCGTGCTGCAGAATCCCAGTGAGCTTGAGCTGAAGGTCATGAACTGATCCTCCTTCAGGGTTTTCTGAAAGTAGATCAAAACTTATGGTCCCATAAACTAGGACAGGTCCAGGTCCTGAAGCAGCGAAGCAGCCCCAGACTATCACACACCCCCCCCCCCCCCGCCCCCCGGATTAATAAAGTATCTATATTTATCTACCATTTTAAACAGACGATTTGATGCATTTTTTCCCTGAAATGCAGTAACAAGACACAGCTTCCAAAATGTTCCACTTTTGTCTCATCCAACATTTTCCCAGATGCTTTTTGGCAGAGATGGGTCTTTCTTTTGTTTTTGGCCTCAGAACTCTCCCTTGGTGACAGGAACCAGTTTTTAGGATTTGAACTAGACCATAAGAATGGTTAAGGTTTTTACTAATAAGCAGCTGCTGGTGGAGGTCAAAGTCCCAAGGCCAGGTCAATCTGGAGAGACAGAAAAGTTAACGAACAGTGCTTCACTGACAGTGATCTGACAGATATTCATACAGGCACCAAACTTCACTGACAGGTGAGGGAGGGGCTCCTTGAGGGAGCTGGAGAGGATGACATCACCGGTGGTGAAGACGGGTCGGCTTTGAGACAGAGCAGAGCGTGGTTTTTAGAGAGATCCAAACGGCAGGTCCAGAGAAACAGGTGAGGGTCGTACACAGGTGATCAGAAGTCCAGGGCCAAATCCAAAACGTAATCCTTGAAACAAGGTCGTGGTAGAAAAAGCAGGAGTCGATACTGATTGCAGAGCAGATAATCCAAACCAGATAAGGAGCGAGCAAGGCGGGGAATCCGTGAGACAGGCATGAGGTCAGAAGCAGGAAGACAAACAAGGCTGAAGGAATTAATGAACTTTATTTAAAATGGACAATGCACAACTCAAACATAAATGTCACCATTTGATGCACTGTACCAGATTATAGCAAAAGCTAATTCACATCTGCAGTCACTTAAATGGAATTTAAGTGGAATGAACTGTGGACATCTACTGACCTGAAGGATTTCAATAATCTGGCACTGAACAGTCGTGAACGTGGAACTTAAATACTGGTGGAAACAGGTGAGCGGGATGAGAACTGATTGCAGTGATGAGGCAGAGTGGGCGCGGTGCAGGGCAGACGTGAACACTGGCAGGAGCTGAGAGATCAACAAAGCATGAAGGCAGGAACTGTGGCAGAAGGGACGGAAAACGTGACACTTGGAGTAAATTCACCAGTCACTCCCGAGAAGCTTCTCAACTGTTCCATGTTTTTCCTATTTGTGGATAATGGTTCTATTTAAGCGATTTCTTGATTCTGCAGGTCTGGCAGTAATCAGGTCTGTGTGTGTCTTGTCAAATTGAACTTCAAAATAAAAATGGGTAATCGCTGTTAATTTATGATTTAACAAAACGAGCACACAAGGCTGGGTTGGTTCAGATAGCTTTTTTTTTCTCTCTCTCTCTCTCTCTCTCTCTCTCTCTCAACAAATAAAATAATTTAAAAACAACATTTTGTTTTTACTCAGGTTATATTAGTCTGGTATACTGTACCCACTTGTTTCTAAATGCTCCAACTAATTAAATTGTATAGCTGTAGAATTTCCATTGGTGTTACAAGCTCATT